ATGACACGATGGGGACAAGGGGGGGTTGGGGGGTGGGGGGGTTGGGTCGGGGGCTAATGACGTTGGTTTGGATGTGCTTCGAAGGTGATGTCACAGGCACACACGCTATCGCTGATGTGGAGATCACCAGTTGCAAGTTTCAGAAGGCAAGTTGCAGAATCTGACTTTCCAGTTTCAGAATACCAGTTGCAGAATCTGACTTTCCAGTTTCAGAATACCAGTTTCAGAATCCCAGTTTCAGAATCCTAGTTTCAGAACCCCAGTTTCAGAATCCTAGTTTCAGAACCCCAGTTTCAGAATACCAGTTTCAGAATCCAAGTTTCAGAACCCTAGTTTCAGAACCCCAGTTTCAGAACCCTAGTTTCAGAATCCGACCGATTAGTTTCCGAATCCGGCTCTAACCCGCGCTGGTGCGTGGACCCGCGCCCTTGGGCCTTGGGCAAGAGGCCTTCGGCCTCCCGAGCGATGGTGGTGTCTCTTGTGGCTGTTTGGCTCGATGGCCATGGCCGGATGGCGATGCTTCGGGGCGTGGCATGGCGATCTCACAGGCGATGCATGGTGAACGCATTCCGACGGTGTCTCTGGTCTTTCCGCATTCCGACTTGGACAGGGTGGCGCATGGTGAAAGACGCACCAATGACTGGGACAGTCTGTTGCTGCAGTTGGCTGTTGCAGAATGAGTCATGATGAGCATGAGTCAGCTTTTTCATTGAGGATGTTTTCTGCCAGGAGTGGATTTCGAGGAGCAGCTGTCGCCGAAGAGGTGTTGGGTAGTGTTTTTTCAGTGCGGACATGCATCGCTGCGCGCATTGCTGCGCTGTTCTTCATTTTCCCGGACTGCAAGGTGGGATGCAGCGACTCCGGGCAACCCGTTGACATCTCAAGAGATCGTGTCTTGGAATGTGCAAATTTTGTGTCACTGAGGAAGGATTTGGTGCCAAGGCGTGCCGGACGTGATGTTACATGATGTGAGATGAGATGATGTTACCTGACGTGGCGTGTCGAAGTTGTGGGGTTCTGTCGTCATGTCGTGAGTTGCAGGGCTTTGAAGCTGATGTGGCCTCGTGGACTTCATGGCTCAGGCAGGTTTGAGTTCACTTGGCTCGGGCAAACAATATCTGCCTCATGGCTTGAATTTCGTGCTGCGGGTTGGGGGGGAATATTACTTGTTTTGCTGTTCTTCAGGGATGACTCAGCAGCAGTTCGCAAGCAAGCGGTGCCTGGGCTGCAAAAGCTTTTGGAAGATGTGTTTCAGTCAGCTTCCTTTTTATCCGTGAGCCCAGGCTAAAGCTTTGGGGAAGATTGGGCAGGCACACTGACACAATGTGCGAAGGTCTTGTCTTCATATCTCTGGCGAGGCGGCTGCAGACTCTGCCCCGCAGCTGGCCGAATGTCTCAAGGATGAAGATCCAGTGTCTTGGAGAAACATGGAGGATGGAAGCCAAAACACCACTGCTTCCCAAATATGGCCTGAGGAAGTGCGAGCAAGTGCTGCTTCTGCCATTGGATGGCTGACACAGGCACCAAAAGCCAGTGCGAGACATTGATGAAGAGCGTTTCAATTCCAACTGTCGCACGCTTTGCAGGCAAGCCAGCCCGTGCAAGATAGCTTGGCGAAGGCTCTGGAGGATCCTGAACCTCGCGCCAATGCCCTAGAGGACAGTGACTTGCAAGGCTTTCTCATGAAGGGACTTTAGAGCTTGTCACATCATGAGGTCCGCATCGCGGCAGCAGGTTCCTTCGGTCGCCTGGGCGAGACTGCAGCTTGTGGCGTAGCAGAAGCTCTTGTTGGTCGGCTCGCAGATTCCGAATTGCACGTACAGGCAGGTAGGGCTTGAGACTGAAGCATCACGATTGACAGAAGGGGCTGGAGAAATCACAACGCACAGCTGCAGGTTGCCGCTGCTGGAACCTTGGCGCGGCATTTTAAAGCAATTGCGATGAAGCTCACGAGTCAACTGAAGAATGCTGGACCAGGAGCTCGCCAGCAGGTACGGAGAAGTGTTGAGTTGCATGCCAGTCTACGTCCACTGATGACTTCACTTGTCTCAGCCTTTCGCAAGACTCATTGAATGCTTTGAATGGGCTGATTGATATTTGCATATTTGCAGGCTGCTGAAGCATTGGGCCACATGGGAGCTGCAGTCATGCAGTACTCGGAGACCACACTCGTTCAAAGCCTGTCAGACCCAGATTCAGGCCGCATCAGGAACCAAAGCGGGCTCACTGGAAGGGTAGGAAGAGACCACATGATTCGCAAAATATGATATCATTAACAAGGAGCTACTAGGGGCTCCTGGCATCACTACTAGGAGCAAGGACGAGGGCTCCTGGCCCTACTACTAGGAGCAAGTAGCTACTGTTAACAAGAAGCTACTAAGGGCTCTTTTCCTTTTTGATTGAAGGTGTTCGAAGAGCGGCTGGAACTGCTCTCCGCCTAATCATGAAGGAATCCTGCGAGTCATCAGGCCGGGTGTTCTCAGTTTCTGCAATCAAGGTTCACATCAGCACCCTAAATCAATGACACAATCGCCCGACCCAGAGGCTTTCCTTCCTTGCTATGAAAAACATCCTTCCGCGACAAGTCATGGGAGACCTGTGAGGTGAGACGTCGGACAAGCCAGACTTCGAGATTGGAAGCAAAGAGAAGGCAACACAACATGGCACACCCTGCTTTGGAAGTTTCAAGACAATTCGGCTTATGCGTGTAGAACACATTTTTTGTAAGAGTTGCATTGACACTTCTACCACAGTGTAAAGCTGATCCATGACATATATATATATATATATCGCGAATGTAACCATAAACACATACAATATGTATGTATATATGTATTATAAAATAAAGCTGTTGCATACGGCTTATGCCTTAGCCACATGCTGATGTGTTATTTATGTGATGACATCAGTGGCCTTTATCAATTTGTTCTGTGTCACTAACAGAGCATTTTTGTTCCAAACTAGGAGTCAACCCGGCCACAATACGTCACCAATCACAAGTACAGTGAACTCACGTAGAGAGATGAGATACAATTCAATGGGCTTCTGAAAGTGCAGTATTCTTATGCGGAGTTGGCGAAATGCCACAGTCTCAGTGCAAATCACTCCTGCGTCCACCCCGCCTTTGAGGGACTAAGTAATTCGCAATGGCACCTCGTGTAGCCATCGCATGCCACCATGGCAACAAATCTCTTATTCAGGAAGCTATGGCTTGTAACTTAGCCTTTCATCAACTAGCACAAGAATAATTGCTAAACCCACCTTTCTGCAAGCACCTTGACCGTACACGTCCCCTCTCCATACAAAGCAATATGTTGTCCATCAGTTGTTTTTTTTCATAGTCGTGGCATTTAAGATGTTTTTCATCATCTGAACTCGCCAGGCCACAACAGTTGCACTTAGCGTGGGGCAGTCCTGATCTTTACATAAAACTCTTTTCGCGGCATAGGTACAAAAGTACACTATACATATAGCAGAAATTCATATATATCTATATATACGTAACATATTAAAGTGTCACAGCCAGCGCAGCGACTGTCGCACGTTTAGGCCTTTGACCTTTCAGCGCGACTTGGAGCACCTTTGCTCCAAAGCAGATCGGATTCTTGGCATCAGCAGAGCTATTCATTGCATTTCCATTTTGGTTCTGAATAGCTCCGCTGCAAACGACTGCTGGTAGAAAGAAGTGGATGTTGCACTGAGGAAGGAGCAGAGAACAAAACGAAGCAACGTCGCAAGGTGGGACAGAGAGTGACCAGCTTCCAGATTCACGTGTAGTGATTTCAATGAACTCTAAGCATTCGCAACAATGCTGCTGAAGAGCAAATCCTTTCGTGATCCTTCGTGCAACCATTTGCTGGTGGTTAGAAGTTAGAAGGCTGTTGACGTTGGTGAAGCATGGATGTGCAACAAGAACCCATCAGAACTTTTCAAAGGTCACCTTTGCCGAAGCACAGGGTGCCATGCAGCCATGCTTGCCGCATGGACAGTTTTCAAGCCCAGGACCAATTTGAGGGCTATGAACTGTCAGCTGGCAAAATGTATTTCAAACTTCCAATTCTGGCTTTCTGTACTTCAGAACTGACAACAAACATGAACGATCCGTTCGCTTGAAAGTCTGAGCTGAAGGAGAAGGCCTATCCGCAGGCACACGAGAGCTGCCTCGGTGTGCACCTGAGAGGTTCTCTTACGAATTTTTCGAAGCAGATTTCACTGCCGAGGCTGCTGGGCACTCCGAAATCAAGGCGTGAAGCGCCGACTTTTGATGTGGGCAAAGAGCCTTGGTCGAATCTTGCGGCTTTTGGTTCGCTTCTTCCTTTGCATTCACCTTTCTAAATGAGGATAACCCAACAGATCCTGGGTCCTGCCAGCATATGCGGCATGTTTATGAGGACGGGGATTCTCAACCAAAATGCATGACTCTTCGAACAGAGCTGGCCACATTGAAGGCTGAAACAGTTTGAGCGATGTGAAGGTCTGATGAATGGCTCACAGCCTGCCACAAAGAAATGGCCGCGAGGTTGGGCTGTCGGTTGGCTTGACGTTTGGTCTATTGAAACGCCGGTGTGTGCCGCAGGAAGACCTCGACCATGAGAAGTGAATCACAAGCACATCACTTCGATTGGCGACCAGAATACCGGAATACCGGAATTCTCTTCAGCACTGATTTCGAAGTGCCATGCACCTGTTGTTTTGGTGCTGGAGTTCTGGCCAAGTGCATGAACGTTCACATGCCATGCATGAACCTTTTGGAGCCGTGCTTTGAGAAGTGATTGCATCCAAACGGTGGCACGTTCAATTTGAGAAGTGGCTCTAAAAGGTGGAGCAAGTTTTGCTCACTGTTTGCACAGTTTTGCCAAATTATGTCCACTCCTTTGTCCACCGTGAGAGCGATAAAGACAAAACCATTCTGGGATTCTGGGAGGAGTGACTTCCTGTGTAACTGTTTTGAAACATGGCGGGCATGAGGGGCGTAGATGCAGCCTGCTGCGCCTGTTTGGTGTGGCTTCAGCTGTACCGTTTGTTGCCGACGAGATGGGCAGTGCAATATATTGACAACAGGTGGGTATATAAGGAATGGTGAAAGATCAATAATTGCATTTGCCCTACTAGAGATGTGAGATGTCACTTAGTCCTGATTTACGCGTTGGATCCGAAGAGTTTCCTATAGCTTGCCCTCAACTGTACACAAAGCATGAGTAGGATCCGGCCTGGGCATTCCTAGCATTCCTTTTTCAACAGCGGAGACTTTTCGCACACAGTACATTCTCTTGCGGCATGTTGCTTTTGAGCAGACCGTCACAGGCCCACTGACTTTTGAACCAGGAGGTAATCATGTGCGGACCAGTCAGTGGGCTTCTGTTTGTGCTCGGAAATCTCTGTTCAGTGTCCAGTTAGCAACTGAGCTGAGAAAGTGTGATCTTTTTCTCAAACATGTGTCCTTATTGTGCAAGACTGATATGACAACCTGGCGGCAATCAAAAAGACTGCTTTGCCCTTGACTGTGGCAAACAGCAGAGTTGGTGCTTCATCAGGCTTCATACAACTTTATTTTCTTGTTGTGTCCGACAACCTTGCAGTTGCAGGAAGAGAGTGTATTCCTGGCTGGCTGGTGCAAGCCCTTTCCAAAATCCGGGGAGGCTGGTTTGTACGGTTCCAAGGGGCGGGGTCCGGGTTCTGCTTCAAGTGCCAGGTGGGTGCTAGAGTTCAAGACATGGACAACATCCTGCAGCTGCAAAGCACTGAGAAACCACTTTGCTAACAGACACACTCCGCACAAATACTGAAGAAGGTCTTTGAGTCGTTGGGCACGATGCTGCTTTTGCTCATTCAGGCGTGATCCTGTCAACCAGGCTCTTGAGCGAGCTCGGGGCAACAAGATGATTGGCTCTCCACTAGACGTTTGGATCTTACTTTCCGAGTTTGAGAATGCAGACAGATGCAGAGGTGTAACGTGGAGAAACATACAACCCAGGCACAGGTCAAGATCATGGTCAAGAGCGATTCTGATCTTTACAATGCCTTGGAACAAATGGTGCGGATCTCAGGCAGCCGTATTTCAAGTGTATTTCGCAAACTCTTGCACAGGATAGTACCAGCTGAATCAGTGTCGCCAGAAAAGGATTGGGTGTCTCTAAAAGAAGTTGTTTTATGATGTTTTATGTTGGTTTCTATTGTGACACAAAACGGGAATCACCTGCAATCTGCAATCTGGATAGGAGCACCTGCAATCTGTGTGTGTCTTGTCCAGTCACTTAGGCAAAGGTTGAACATCAAAGCGTGGATGGCCTCAACTGGCTGCTATCAGCGAAACCCCGAGTTAAATACAGAACATTTTGCATTTCTGCTGTTTGTGTGTGTGTGTGCAGTTTGTGCAATCTGCATGTTTGTTTTCGAGATGGACAGGTGTCACAGGCGCACTATGAAGCTGTGGACGCGCTGCCAGAGCTTCCAAATGAGTCAGATGAGTCCGCCAGCAGTGAAGACAAGGATCCTAGATGCACTCGACTCGTTGAGTCCGGAAAGCGAAGTCATGTTCTAAAGATCCACTCTCAAAGTAAAGATCCACTACTTTGCACACCAGTCTACTTTTGCAAAATTGATCGTGAAGCTCAAGGTTCAGTAAGAGCACCATGAGTAGCATTGGCAGCTGCAGCAGCAGCAGCAGCAGCAGAAATAGTAGTAGTAGTAGTAGTAGTAGTAGTAGTAGTAGTAGTCGTAGTAGTCATAGTAGTCGTAGTAGTCGTAGTGGTAGTGGTAGTGATAGTAGTAGTGGTAGCAGTTGTAGTATGCCTACCAATCAACTGGGGATCGTTAGGGCTAGAGCTTTTCGCATCGAGCCTGCTCTGAACTATCATGGAATTGCAGAGAGCTTGATCATTGTTGAACCCGTGAAGCATCCAGTTTTAAACGGCGTTGGTATCGTTGGTGCAGTGAACGCGTCCTATTGCAAGGCGGGGCGTAGTCGGACTATGCCAGTAATTTCCTTTATTTACCATCACTGCAGCAGTGATGGTTTTGGTCGTTGAGTTGGACTAGCACAGGTTTAGATCTTGCGCTTGCAAGGACCTTGGGGTCGTCGTCATTGTGGCTCGCCCTGTGCTTAGCTCCGACCAAGCACAGATTTTGACTTTTTGCACTCGGTGTTTGTGCACAAGAAGCTACTAGGGGCTCCTGGCATCGCTACTAGGAGCAAGGACGCTACTACGAACACTCTAGTTACTAGTTGCACATCTCAGAGCACCGAGGTGCCGCCGGCACCAAGTGCGAACGCTGCTGGGTCCACACCACCAATGTTGGTGACTGCAAGGTGGTTGTTCTTTTGAAGTTTGGAATATGGCCCCGGTTTCCTGTAGAAAACTTCATTTTTCACTTGAATCTAAAGAATGTAAGCATGGCTTGGGGGTGGCAAGCTACTTTCAGGAGCACCCAACCATTTGCTTACGTTGTGCTGATGTAGTGCAAGAGATGGGCGCAGGGCACTCAGGAAAGCACCGATTGCAGTACCTGAGTAGTGAGTGTGTGCATTGTGCACTGCGTGCCCGTTGTTCTTTGGGTCTTGTTCTTCATGTCGGCACCACAACAGCACGTCACGATGCTCACGATGCTCACCACGTCATCGATTTCACCGGTTTTGTTTGTCGCATTTTACATGGCACTTCACTTCTTTGAACCATCAGCCGTCACACATTTGCAAACTAGGAACAAGTGCATCGCTACTAGGAACAAGTGCCTTACTAGTAGTAACAATGTTTGCTATAGGAACAAAAGGGCATTAGTACCAGTAACAAGGACGCTATTAGGTGGAGGCCATCGCAAGTAGGTTGGAGGCCATCGCTTCTAGTAACAAGGACGCTACTAGTAGCAAGGGGAATCTTATTTGCAAACTAGCCGTATTGTTTGAGACGTTGCTCCAATTTTCCTGACACTCATCAAGATTGCCAAGGGAGATGACTGTTGTATGCATCACACTCACATCTCTTCGCTGTCTTGGCTCCGCTGGTGTTGCGTTGGACTCTAAGAGGTCAGCTAGAGGGAGCAATTTTCCGCAGGAACGCCTCAAGCAACTTGGTTTGGGCAGCCATATGTGTTGTATACAACACTTTGGAGAAAAGTACACATGAAAACTATGACAACAACAATTGCATCAGTACAGGCACTACAGGCACATAAGCGAGGCATAGACCCCCTTGGCCCTAAACTTGTGTTCAAAAATGAATGACACCTGAACCAGTGAATTGAATGCACGAATCCAGGTACAGCATCAAAGTGTATTGAATCAAAGAACCACAAAAGTTGAGCCCAGACCTACTTGTGTCAAAACAGAGAAACAAACCTGAAGCTGAGCCTCGGCAAAAACTATGCCTACCAAGAGTCCCCTTACTTTTGGCCGAGAGGTGCCATCACCTTTGGAAACAGTTGACTCTGCTGGGCACTCAAGCAAATCCTTCATTGACCCACATAGAGAGTGACGAAGAAAAGATTCGCTTGAGACATTGTAGAAAACTGCTTCTTCTTTTCCTTCAGAGCTCCTCCTTATCCAAGGCTTGACGAGTGCAGAATTCTCCACCATTTTCAAAGTGATCCATCGATCGCTTTGGTGTAGATAGCTGGACGCAGCGAGCGTTGCAGTTTCTAGGCGTTTTACATAATCGATTTTCGCTTTGCCCAAGGCAGCTCCATTTCATTTCGACCCAAATGATCCAGGTCCGCTCTGGAAACTAGTGGAAGAATTGTAACAACATGTGTATGGAATAATACGTGTATCCAGGATCCTTCTTGAAGTAACGTCAGAAAAGTTCCAAACTTGAACTTCAAAGATGCTCTACTGTATGGAGGCAATATCAATACCCTTTCTTCCTTGCAACGGGTGACGTAGCAAAGGAGTTGGGTCATTATCCACAGGCAATGAGATCTGCGATTCAAAACTTGGGTGGACACTTTGGGCGACGCGTCGCGTTGACGTCATTGCACGAAGCTAAGGGCCGGCCGCATCGACGTCATTGCGATTTGGTGAAACAGTTGCTGCCATTGACTCAAAGGAACCCCAGCACTTTGAGTAGGATCATGTCGTGCGCAGACGCAACGTCGCGAGCGGCAGTCAAAGACTCAGAAACCATGATGTTTTTCAGTCACATGACTACACATAAAATGACTGTACAGTTTGTAGTGACTGAAGGACACTTTCAAAACGCTTCTGGTCTTTTCAATGCATTTTGGAACAAACTTTTGGATTCATCCCTGTGGGTGCTGCGTTGAAAGGCTGCCTTCGACATCTTGGATGTCGATGGCGATGGCATTCTGGGGCAGGAGGCGTGAAGTGATGCGAAGTGGTTCCAAACGTTTCCGGTCTTTCTGCATTATCTCCAGGACATATCGATGGCTCTGGAAATGTGTGGCTTTGAAGCAGAGGCAGAGGGGCCATTGTACCAGCCACAAGTACTTAAACTGGACACTGGTGCCACCGTGACATTTCCAGGCAGCAACTATAGCAGACTTGGCTGCCGGAAAGACAAAGGCGTCGCAAACGAAAGGCCTGGCTCTTTGAAGCACAAGCCGCAAGCCGCAAGCAGCTTGTGCTAAGCTTGCCATTTTCTTCCTTTTTTTGCCCAATGAGGGCGCCTTGTTTTTGGCAGAGAAATCACTAAGATCCTCGCGGCGCTTCGCCAGAGGCGTTCCAATGGATAGTGGAGCCTTCGAAGCCCTGGTGAAGCAACACAGCTGTGGACTCGGTGCAGTTGTGTAGCTTTGGAATATCGATTGAAAGATCATCTGCGCAACGGAGAAAAAGCTTTGAATGTCATACTGTATTCTTTGAGCCTGCAAGGCAGGGAAGTGGTGACGTGGAAGAGAGATGCCCAATCCTTGTTGCCGCCCCCTTCAGCTACACTTGAGTTGGATGACTTCGAGGTATTGGCACAAGCAGTGACGGCTTTCGGAGGTGGGACTGTTGGCGTTGCAGTGGGATTGTGACAACAAACCTTGATTATGGTAGCCCCTAGTAGCGAACACTGCTCCTAGTAGCAAGGCCAGGAGCCCCTAGTAGCGTCCTTGCTCCTAGTAGTAAGGCCAGGAGCCCCTAGTACCGTCCTTGCTCCTAGAACTTGGACATTGCAAGCATCCCAGTTGCAACGCAAACCCCATCGGCAAGTCGAGCACTCGCCAGATCCAGACTTTGTGGATGCGGATCACCTGACAGAAGGTTGGAAACTGAAAAGCCAAAGACCTGCGGCAAGGGACCCCTGGGGAAGGATATCAAAGAGCACAGAACATACCTCGACGCGGTCCGACTCTGACTCTGTCCATCAACAGTGCAGATTGCACAGTGGAAAAACATAGCACAAGGAAGTGCTGCATACAGGATCATGAACGCTCATGTACACACATTATATATATATAGAGTGCTACTGTATATATATATATATAGTATATAGATAAAACGGGTGCTTCAACATATTGGGTAAACGGGGGGTTTGCCCCGACTGCAACATGCAGAGGGTCAGAAAACCATGCGTTATATACATATATATATATATATGGTTTTTGGGGTTTCGGGACACTCAACTTATCGTCTTGGAGTTAGTGAACTCCAACACGATACGTTGAGTGCTTTTTGAAGACCATTCAAAGACCACTCAGTCAAGCCCTGGAGTCTTTCCCGTCCTCCCACCTGGTCGATGATCTGCAACTCAAGGAACCTTTTGCGGCACGACTTCAGTCCTCTTCCCAATTGAGCCATGACAGCTCACTGTACATTTGAGCTGGCAGACAAGTGTCTTGCACAACCTCTCTGTGTATTCTCACAGCCTCTAGCATTGAGTCCAACCCCGGATGTTGGCTGAACCACAAGCTGCGAGGCCTTCAACATGCTCTCGTTGCGTGACGACGTCGGTCCAGAAACGCGATGTTTGACTTGCGCAACGAGTAAAACGAGCGAAGCTGTCCCAGCCCCCCCCCCCCACAAAACATTGTTGGCAAACCCCCCCGTTGACCCAACATGTTGCAGGCCTTTGTAAGCTAGGCTTGGGTGCCACGAAGAAGGAGGCAGTGGCACACAGTCACAGCAGCACCGCTTGCATCAACAATGTAATGTTCTCACTCTTTTGGACACAACCTTAAATGTTTTCGCATCACTAATGGAAGTTTGTTCGAGGCGTTGGAAATGCTGAAAGATTTTGACAAGGACTTCTTGTGAACCTTCGCTTCGGACTTTGTGCCAGAAGCGTCTAACCGTGCAGTATGCAGGATGCGGATGGCAAGCTGTCTCGGGATGAGTTGGTGGAAATGCTAGGCTGTGCATGAAACCATAGCGTTCACTCTGCACTAAGGGTTGCGGACATCCTTTGGACGATTACTAGCAAGTGATCTTGGTTCGTTCTTGACTTCAAGTTGTTAGATGTTGTTCTCAGACAAGACTCTACTTTGGACATAAACCTCAGGCTGTTGAACAACAATTTGTTTGATTTTAGACTCCAAGCTCGCCTCGATCTAATTAGACGCATGTCAATTCAGTTTCCCGTTTCGCACGCTAGCAGAGCATGGACTGTAGCACTGCACCTGCAGCTCTGCTAATTCGGTGACAAGCTCCGGGACCTGTCTGATTTGCCTCCATGGACTCGGTCGAAAAGCCTGGCGACGGTGAATCGGAGAATGGGCACTGGTGAGTCCGCATGCATTGCCAGGATTGAAGATCAGCCGACTGCGGACATCAATTGATCCACTTGTGCATTTGGCTCATGTTCCAGTACTTATTGATTTGTATAGTGCTGAAAAGCAAAATTCTTTGACAATATGTCCGGACCTTAGTTGGTCCTGTCATACTTTGCAGGCTTTTGAACGCAGTTTTGGATCCATTAAATGTCATAACGGGCTGTAAACTCAGTGTCAATGCAAAGAAACAGCATTTGATGACTAGACTAGATTGTCTCCTTGGCTTGTGAGGCTGCGGTCCCGGTCGTCTTTGCTGCGATGTGCAGCTGGTGCTGCGCTTTGTGTGGCCTTGCAGACTGCGCTCAGCTTTGTGGCACCCACGGGTGGTGCTGCGAAGGCTTGTCAAAGGCTCATGTTTGCGCAGAAGAGAGTGCAAGCTTAGTTTGACAGGCTCCTCTCAACACGCATGCCGTGGCTTCTCCACCACTGAGGG